ACAACTCCTTTATAGTTTTAAGCCTTCTAATTTAAATATTGCCACAGCAGTTATTAATAATGACTTACAATTAATTCATGACTGGACCATAAAAAATACTTTGTTAGTTAATGCTAATAAAAGTCAAAACATTCTATTTGGAACATCAACTCAATTGCGAGGTCTGGATAACTTTCCCGTTTTAATTAACAATGAAAATATTCCTGCAGTCAATGTTGTTAAAAATCTTGGCCTGACTTTTGATTCATCGTTGACTTTTTCGAATCATGTAACCGTTATCTGTAAGAAAGCTTTTCTATCATTAAAACAGTTGCAATGCTTTAAAAAGTATCTAAATCCTCAGACCAAAATTTTACTTACTGAATCTTTAGTCTTATCTCATTTGAATTATGCTGATGTTATATATGGCCCCTGCCTTTCTCAAGAAAATAAACACCGTTTGCAAAAAATACAGAATTGTTGCGTCCGTTTCATTGCGAATGTACCCCAGTTTAGTCACATAACTCCATATTTACGTTCCTTCAATTTGTTGAACATGTCTGAGAGGAGACTTATTCATTTTGCCAGTTTTATACTCAATATTTTAAAAAATAACAAACCTACATATTTATGTGATAAAATAAAATGGAGATCTGAAACACATAATAAAAATTTGAGATCACTGAGTAGCAAATTATTGCTTATTTATTGTATTTGTTTGTTTTTAGTCTGTTCTCTTTGACACAGGAGGTGTTGTAAATCAACTTTGTTGATACACCTTCCTTTTGTAAAAATGTTGTTTATACTTCTTTTTTGCAATAAATGTATTATTATTATTATAGTCCAGGCAAGTTAGACCAAAATCATCCAGAATACAGAGATTTTTTTCTGATGAACCGATCGAGTTGCGGTTTTCGACATTGTCTTCGGAAAAATATCAGGAAAAAAGTCTATCTATTACACTTTGAGGCTGGATCGAAACTACATTGCGGGTGCATAAACTGTATCTTGGAGTGCATCAATTTTTCCGAATTTTTAAAAAATGGCAAAAATTTACTAAAAGTTGTAGAAATTTGTGTGCGCGGATTTTCGTGGTCGGAGATTCCGAATTTGACCCTGAAAAATATGCCCGACGGACCTGGGGCCCCCAGGGGGGCAAGGGGGGCCTTCTGTAAAACATCGAATAGCTGAGTAATTGCCTTCCTAAGCATGGAATTGCATGCACAATTGCATGTACAAATTGTTTTGGAACCAACTGATCCAATCCTGAAATAGTCGAAAATGTAATAGATGATAGTGATGGAGACAGTGATGACAGTACTGATGATGAAAATTGTGATTGATAGTGAAAATGTTAGATAAACATATGATAGTAGTTGTCTCACTAATTGCCTTGAAAATAAAAAGAAAATTGGTTCTCAGAATAAAGGGGATTCTTTTCGATTCAAAAATTTCCTGTTAGTTTTTCTTACCCTTCTTGTCTAATCTCTGTAAATTTAAGTTTGTTAGAATGTAAAGATGAGCCTACAAAATCATGGTTGGTAAGCAGGAGGAGCAGTTTTAATGCAAAAATCAGATGTGCCTTTCGATGTTATCCAGAAAGCCCACCCCACGGGCGTCGGGCATACTTTTCAGTGTCAGAATCGAAATCTCCGACCCCGAAAACTCGTGAAACAAATTTCTACAACTTTTAATCAATTTTTACCATTTTTAGAAAATTCGGAAATATTGATGCACTCCAAGATGCACTTTATGCACCAGCAATGCAGTTTCGATCCAGCCCCAAAGTGTAGTAGATAGACTTTGTACCTGATATTTTTCCAAAGACAATGCCGAAAACCGCAACTCGATCGGTTCATCAGAAAGAATTTTCTGATTTATTGTCTAACTTGCCTGGTCTACTAGCTTTACAAAATTATTCAAATCATGTGTTTTGTAAAATTCTCTTTCACACCAACATCTGGAAATGCTAAAATGCAACTTCAAACATATTATCGTTAGTAATCAATCAAGAACAAACAGCGTCAATTGGAATTCTGCGAGCAACTTTTCCAGCGCTACCGTGATGAAGGAGACGACTTGCTGAATATTGTGACAGAGGACTATTCAAGACAGAGCGCTGAATATCAACATCCGTCCTCTCATATGGTGAAAAAGTTCAAAACACAACCATCCGCAAAGAAACATCTTTTGACTGTGTTTTGGGATGCTTACCTGGAGTTTATGTGACCAATTATTTGGAACAAGGGGCAATGGTATATTCTTTTCAATACATAAAGACTCTAAAACATGTTGAAAAATATATAGATGATTTTGAAGCTTAAGAATTGTACTTTAATGTAGTTTTTGCCCAATCTTCCTATTTGTTTTTGTTCCTGTTCTAAACATGTGTGCAATAATTTTCCGCCTTGAGATTTAAAGAGAATCTTCTTTCACTTAATGTGGATTACGCGACGTCTCTGTTACACCCAATGCAATGATTGTTATGAATTTTTCTCTTTGAGTTACTGAAATTGTTCTTTTATTGGTTCTATTATTGTCCTGCGGGATTGTTGAAGAATAATCTATAACTAACACGTTTTTTTTCTTTCAGGTGAATCAAAAAAGGACCACTGCAACAAGACCGTGGAGATCTACGAGGACGTGGCCAGTCCGGAGGTGACGCAGGAAACCTTCGGGAAACCGATGACCTGTTGGTACAGATTCCGGTCCTTCCGGGGCACGCCCAAAGACTGGATCCTAAGGATTAAGTTCAACAAATTCAAGGTGGGGAGCTTGCTCAACGCCAGTCACTGCGAAGGAGGTTATATGCAGGTAGGAAACTGTTAAAAGAATATATCTGTACCTTAGTAAGTTGATTTCGTAGTTTTCACCAGTTGAAGAATAAAAAAAATAAAAAAAAATAGTATACTCAGATAGGAATAGTAAGTTGTCTAGAATACAAACGTCTTTTTCATACTGCTGTTAATGAATTGGATAATGGGAGCTGTTAATTAACTAATTTTATTGCACAAATTTTAAAACTCGCACTAATTAACCGATGTAATTTTTGTTTGAAAATTGCAAATTGAAGTACTCAATATTACAGTGCACCAAGTTTCTTCTAGACCTGGAAGCAAGGTAATCTCTTAAAACNTTGAAGAATAATCTATAACTAACACGTTTTTTTTCTTTCAGGTGAATCAAAAAAGGACCACTGCAACAAGACCGTGGAGATCTACGAGGACGTGGCCAGTCCGGAGGTGACGCAGGAAACCTTCGGGAAACCGATGACCTGTTGGTACAGATTCCGGTCCTTCCGGGGCACGCCCAAAGACTGGATCCTAAGGATTAAGTTCAACAAATTCAAGGTGGGGAGCTTGCTCAACGCCAGTCACTGCGAAGGAGGTTATATGCAGGTAGGAAACTGTTAAAAGAATATATCTGTACCTTAGTAAGTTGATTTCGTAGTTTTCACCAGTTGAAGAATAAAAAAAATAAAAAAAAATAGTATACTCAGATAGGAATAGTAAGTTGTCTAGAATACAAACGTCTTTTTCATACTGCTGTTAATGAATTGGATAATGGGAGCTGTTAATTAACTAATTTTATTGCACAAATTTTAAAACTCGCACTAATTAACCGATGTAATTTTTGTTTGAAAATTGCAAATTGAAGTACTCAATATTACAGTGCACCAAGTTTCTTCTAGACCTGGAAGCAAGGTAATCTCTTAAAACTATATATTTTTCTGAAGCTCCAATTATAGTAAAAGAATTATTTTTCGGTGAATTATCAAGGATCAATGCTGACGGAGCAACTGAATTGGACTTCAACCAACTTCAAAGATATTTTATATGAAACTTAAATTTTACCCACTGAAATAAACTTTGATCCGATGCCTTCTGGCAGAAGTAATGTTTGGCGTAGCAAAACAGCTAACATTGTCGTAGTAGAGTGTCTGAAACAGTGACCGTACAGACTTTCGGATATGGTAATTTTAAATACGCATTGTCCTTATTTTATTAATATCAATTTACATATCTAACGAAAAATCTACAATTTTTAGTACATTTAGGGCGCAAAACACAGTATATTCGATATAATACAATATGAACTATATCTGAAATGACAAATGTCCTCTAAGTATGTGTTTTGTTGTCAGGAATTTTAATGACAACCACACTATATCTTGTAGTGTTATATTTAGTAGCATTTGTCTTTCTAAAAACCCCATGAATTTCCATTATTAAAAGAACCAAAAAACCATCATAGATATATACAGAGAGTAATATAAATTAACTCCATTAGTAAGAATTGTATATCAGGGATTTGTTTTATAAATATTTTGATTTATACTTTCGTCAAAATCTTAGACTTCTTTAACCAATTTATTTTGTGTAATATGTCCTTTAACTTTCTTCTTTAACTTTTTAACAGAATTATTTGACAATAATATTGGAGTTTCAGTTCCATGACGTTTTATTTTCAGGCTTATTTTAACTTTCTTTTGAGTACAATATTTTTAGAAGTCATTATAAGCCTTTTCATATTGTCTTACATATTCTTGAAGAACAATTTGCAATACTGCACTGTCTGCAGTTTTTGATACTTCAAGAGACAAATATTATACATCATATTGAAATCCATTTCTCTTTTCACTTGATTCATACTTACTGTGACTAATGACTATCGATAATAACCACAGCCACACAAAAAAATCGACTTTCGGGCCCAGAGATAAGACCATGTTTATTATACGTTTTTTGGGTAGCTGAATCCGAATCCGAGGTCCATTTAATCCCATCACCTCAGGACTTTTCATAACCTCAAAAAACCGATATTCTGAACAATTAAACCATATAACCTTAAGACTCAACCTTCCAACGCTAAATCCAATTAATCAAATCCCATAAATATTTAACCCAATGATATCCCAACCTAGTAAGCCCATGAGCCCAAACCCCAATAACCCTATAACCCCATAAGCCCATAACCAAAGGAATAAATCATACGCAATCTATATTAATGTGAAACATCCACATATCCCAACTTAATAAGTCCGTGAGCCCGAATACCAATAACCTTATAACCCCATAACTTCATAACCAAGGGAATAAATCGTAGACAATCTGTATTATTGCAAAACATCACATAGCTGAGGACTCCTTGAAAACCCTAGTACGCAAACCGAAAATGCATCCTATATATTGATCTAGTCATTTCACATGTCCGGTCTTTTAATCTAGTCATTCTAGTAATATATTTTGTTGGGTTATCTATTGCTATCCTTTGGATTTTCATTTCATTTAATTTAGTCAAGAGAGATTCTTAACATTCATTTATTTATTTTAGTTTTGTTGATTAATTTATAGTACCGTGTATCCTACAAATTATTTTTTTTTCAAAAGCTATAAAAAATCTAGATCGACTGTAACACTCGATTCTTTGGTGAATGGGGTCAAAGTTCAAGGTAATGACGTTGTGGTTAGGGAATCGTGGTGTTATGAATAGGGTCATGTGGGTTTTGGGGTTTGAGTTCATAGGTTTTTAAGATATCCTCAACCAACGTTTAGAAATAATACAGATTACCTACCTATGATTTATTAATTATAGGGTTATGAGGTTATGAAGTTACGGGGTTATAGGGTTATGGGAATTTTTTAGGTTTGAGCACTTGGGTTTTCAAGGAGTCCCCAGCTATGTGATATTTCGCAATAATACAGATTACGTATGATTTATTCCCTTGGTTATGGGGTTATAGGGTTATTGGGGTTTGGGTTCATGGGCTTATTATGTTTATGGGATTTAGTTAATTGGATTTAGCGTTGGAAGCTTGAGTCTTAAGGTTATATGTTTAATTGTTCAGAATATCGGGTTTATTGAGATTATGAAAAGTCCTGAGGATTCAGCGACCCAAAAAATGTATATTAAACATAGTCTGATCACTGGGCCCGAAAGCCGATTTTTGTGTGGCTGTGTAATTATATTCGTTTTTACGATTGTTTACGATTCTATGCATATAGTATGTTGTCCGGTCTAAATAGACGTTTCAAATAACGAAAATTCCGACAGATCTAAATTTTGGTGGAGACCTTGGGTACACCATTAGAAATAAAGTGTCAAAAGTCCCCATCGATCCCATGTGTGCTAAAAAAGTTATTCGGGGTCAAAGGTCAAAATGGTGAAAGGTAAAAATTTGAGGTTTTTTGGATTTTTTTCGAAAACGGTAAGTTTTATCAAAAAAGTAGCCCTGACAAAAATTATAGATCTTAAAATTATCTATAAAAATTTAATAGTTGAAGGAGTCACATTCTACATGATATGCACGCATTTACTTTGGCGCGTTTTTTTAACGTGGTTTCCCCGGTAGGCCTACTCCACGAAGTGTTATGACGGAATTTTCAGGGACAATACTCTTTTAACTGCATGATAATTATTATTGACTGAACTGTAGTTCTGATTTCTTTTGATATTTTAATCTAATTCATATTCTTCAAAATCGACTTCAATAGTCATGTCTTCTTCGATTTCTACTTTTTCTTCTTCCTCTTCTTCTTGCTGGATATTCATATATTGTTCAAATGAAGATGGATTAGCTGTCTCTTCATCGAAATCAGATGAATCTTCAACTGTTGTATTCAATTGGACATTTGAGCAAGACTGGCTTTGGTAATTAGTGCACGCTAGAGAACACAGTAACCCTACTCTTCTACAGCCACATTTAGCACTACAACCTTTTTTGCAATTGCAAAAAATAGTGTTTAAGAATTTTTCCGGAGCAGGTGGGAGTAAAGTTTGAATAGGTTCCAAAGTATTATCTGTTAATTTCCAACCCCAGTCTTCTGGATTCAGTTGATTGCCTAGCCATGTCTGAACATGATAGTATATTCGATACAAGTGTTGATTAGCAGAAGCCGATGTTGGAAGAAAACAAGATAGTTGTACTTGTTTCTTGTTTCGTGTATTTTTTACAAAAATTTTTACAATATAGTAGCCAGATGTTATTCAAGGCCGTGCGGGTAGAGGGGATTGACTAAGGGACTAAGTTTTTTTTTGAGTATATATTCTCAGAATAGTATAGTTTATACATATAAAAGACATAAATAGGCATTTTTACTTGTATTAAGTGCCTGACTATGTATATACGAGGCATATGTGCATTGTGCATGTAAAACGTGACTCCTTCAACTTTTAGAATCGCGATATCTCAGGAATGGTGATTCTTAAAAAAAAAGAAAAAAAACAATTTTGGAAAAAATAATAAGAGCAAGAACTACTGTCCGAACAAAACTTGCCATAAAACAAACAAATCCAAAAAAAAATCAAAAAAACACCAAAGACCCACAATAAACCCCAAAAAACATGGAACACACAGGGAATCGAGACAGACTATTGACAATGGAGTACAAAAGGTCTACAAAAAAAGTCAAACAAAACGGAACTCTCGCGAAATGACCACTAGTTGAACAACAAATTTAACACGAATAAAACTAAAATTTTAACAATATGTTGAAGCAGTTTTCGGAAAAATATTGTTTGATCAGTTTGAATTCTCGAATGGATTATTTACTCTTTGGCTCCCGTAAACAAACTTTCCCTTCATGAATATAAAAGCAATACTTCACAACCTAAATAGGTTCATTAAAAAGTTCAGTCTTTTGCAACAAAATAATGGTTCACTCAGTCATTTTATGTAATTTTCAGCATTAGTTTAACCGATACTGAACAAAAAAAAATATCAAGAACGCGGCATGAAAACTAAAAACATCTAAAGCGCGGCCATATTTCACTCTGATAAAATGGGTATATCTTATTACACTGCAATTATTATAAATATCTCGAGGAAACAATCTTCGGGAGCGCCGGCTGAATTCTTTTAATAGGGTAATAAATAATGGTCTAGCTGCACAATTTCATTGCATTTTAATGTAAATAAGCATTTGGGAGATTTACTGGAAAAGTAGGAAGGTTTAAAGTCATATGCCCTTAATTAATTTTGAACCATAAATTACTTTTATTCGTTTTCTTTGATACAGCAGGAGTATAAATGAACAAAAACTATCAAGTAACTTTCGGCCATTTGCATAATGTGCAAAATAAAGTAAAACAGTATATTTTCGATAAATTGCAAGGTTTTCAATTAAAATTTGGATTACAGCTATTAATTGTATGCAACTAAATTATCTATTAAATATAGAGTTTGAATTTGTTTGAATAATTGATGAACAAGGGTATTTATAAATAATTTCGTAGGAAAATAGACAATAATTAATTAATTATTATAATCAATGAAGTGAAAATATATTGAAAACGGCAAAACAACTGCATTATAGGAAGCAGAAAGGAAATTTCCGGGTTGGTTGCCACGTCATCGGTTTAGATTTCTAGACGTTTCTATTAATATACAACTCTCTTCTTCAGAAGAAACTCTGAAAGTGGAAATTAGGTGCACTGGCCCGTGACTCGTAGTCACTGGTCTTTAATTTCTGCTGATGAGTCATTTCCTTTAGCCCCTCTGGTCTCCATTGAAATTATCTCAACTCTTCTGGAAATCTATTGTCTCCCTGTAAAATTCTGGCTAAAATTCTCTCTCTCTTTATACACGCTGTGCACAGAGAGCATGATTTTCTCTTGACAAGGATATCTAGAAAGGGCAGGGTACCATTTTCATCCGTCTTCATGGTAAAGTTGATGTCCGAATGTATCCCAGTGATGTCTTTCAGTAATTCTTCTATGTTTTTATATCCATAGGGGTATATGATAACTATCTTAACCAATATTTCCGCAATAACGTTGCTAAGTCCAGGGCTGTCTTCGCTAAATCATCTTTGTAGAAATTTGCCAGAGTTATGGACAAGAATGAACCCATAGTTGTTGCTTCAGTTTGTTTATAAGGGAGAATATGCCCATCTGGTGACCGTTGCCAAATCACCTCTATTCCTACCTTTTCATGTTTTCCATAATGAGCCTTCCATGTTCAATTGATATTTTTGTGAACGATATTACATCAAAACTCAATGTGACATCATCTGGATCTAGGTGGAATTCCTGGATCTAGTTTATAAAATCTCCAACTTCTCTGATATGGTATTCTGTCTTTCTCATTAGATCTTTAATTTGATGTGGTACGCACCTGAAAAGTGAGTAAATGGATGATCCAATTGAATTATACTGATTCATTATGTATTTATAAATTGTTGCATGATAGTGTAATAATTAATTTTAGCAGTCAGTTTTAAATGTTCAAATGTTGAAGCGTGTAAAAGGAATAGTCCAATTAGTTCAACAGATCTAATTTAATATATTAAAGTGCCAAAAAATCTATAAAATCATCAAGGAAAATATTAGTTGAACAATGTGCAGGCTGACTAAGCTTAGGAGGCACATATCTCTTCTTCAGAGGCAGCTCTGAATCTATTTTCTTTGAGGTATTAACGCTATGTGATCTTAGGATTTCTGTTAGTATATTCATTATTTTTTAGATAGAGTCAGAAACTTTAAAACTAAAAGGTTGCTTCGATGTATTGAATTTAAGACCAGGAGGATTTCTGGACCACATTAATGAAATGCACCTGGTTTATAGAAAGGTATATTACATCATTGTTCCTAGATGGTATTATCAAGAAAATACTTGGAGCATATTATCATCAGCACACACAGATGGGCACTTAAACAATGACACTCATCACCATCCCATCCAAACACATCACCTTAGTGCTCGAGCACACACCATCTGGTAACAATTTACATACAAAGATTTACTTTATTAGTTAGGTGGTCTCATAGAGATTAATACTCTCTACAAAGAAGATAAGAACGACTTAAAGAATGATGAACTCAACGCATTGGACAAAAATGTACAAGTTAACATGAAATTAAATCAACATACTAGTGACCTATGTAAAGAGCAATAATGGAGAGAATTTGGTAGAAGACTTCAGGTCCAATTGCAGAGTTTCTTTTGACGATGAGTCTTATGAAATCGAGATGTGGTAAGGAATTGCTCAGTTATTGACAACTGCTATGAGAACGTGCAAACCAAGCTAGGGTTTGCAATTCAAATATTTCGGGAACTGATGTCGGGGATGTAGATTTAAAATAAAATAGCGTAATTTAGCTCTATTGAAAGAATAGCTCCTTTTTAACTTTTTCGAGGGTACCACAAGTGTCGACCGATTCGAAACATCCTGTAATCGTCAATGAAGTAGCTTCCATTAACAGTAATCATTGGCTGTGAATGAAAATACGCCGGCTAAAACTAAGTAAACCAATTCCTGTCAGGACGCGTGATTAATATCACGCAATCATTTAAATCTAATCTATTATCTTAGCCAGATATCAGACAAGATTAATGTTTTCGAGGTAGCGGGATATTTCTTGCATTATCGCAATAAATCCCAACAAGCGCGTACCAACTTATCTGCAGAACCATTTGCTAATCGTAATTACTCTTAATTAGAAGCGTAATTGTTATAAATCACCCCAATCGCCGTACTTTTTAACTCACCGAGGAATATTAAAAACATTTCTTTTCCATCCACTTGGGAATGGATCAGTTGCGCAATTAACTGGAATAGAAGGGATTCCCGTAGTTTTACGAGAACGAATAAAACATAAACTGAGATTTTATCTTTTAAATTCATGGTTTGAAAACAAATGCCTGTCTGATAATGTGAGATGGTAGTTTTTTTTACAGAAATTTAAATCTATATAGTCTATTAACATCAGAGATAGTATAGTATCAACGTCAGTATTACAGATAATTCTAAAAATCAAATGTAGCACATTTGTCAATACATAGGTATTTAATGCATGTCTAAACGTTGGTGCTACGAATTGAATTATATATTTAGAACAAAGAAGAAAAATTATATCCCGCTGGTTAACAAGATCACTGATGAATAATTAATAATAAAGGGCCAAGGATTAATCCTTGAGGGACTCCTAATATAGCCAGATACTCAGCAGACGTATGATCATTATATACTACTATTTTCTGTTACGAAAATAGAAAGTAAAAAGTTTATAGTAAAGTGGAGTGAGAAATCCTATGGAATGCTAAAATCCACATGGGAAACACCTGCATATACGTTATTATCAATATAATTAACTGTAAAATACGTAAAGCAAGCTAAATCTTTAACAGTAAAACGTACCCTCATAAAACTACAGTATATTTTTTTCAGACGATTGGGAGTATTTGATGGAAAGTAAATGGTTAAAAATATTCTTCAAAACACATACTTCAATATTTTTTCTCAAGTTGATACAAATAATAGGGGACAAATCTAGATTATATGGAAACTGTTCAGTCAATTTTTTTCAATGACATGTCTGCGGTTACTTTATTAGGTTTGGTGTTGTAGTTAAGGTTAAGAACATTTCAATTAATCGATCAAGTATTTTGCTTTGATAAGTAGTTTTAAAGTTTTCCAAGTGTTGGTAACTGTTTGAAATATACTTGAAAAGTTACCCCATAGGGTAAATATTGTGAAAGGTTTGAATGATCTGATCAAATAGCATCCGTTTACGAAAATTAAAAGAGAACCTCAACGAGTTCCGTTTAGGAAGACGTTTCTTGAATTTGCTAGTCTCATGGGGTTGTTTCATGAGAGATCAGGAATTGTTCGAAACAATGCAGCAATTGCAACATGGCTCCGTTTAAAAAGAATCGTATATTTGTGAAGAATGATCTTTCTCTGATCGAACTTGACCAATTCACTATGTTTTATTAAATAATTAATTTTAAGATGACATCTGCCAAATATTTTAATTAAATTCAAATCAAGATCTAGTGAAAGAGAGACAAATTAACAACAACAGGAACATAGACTTCAAATCGTATGTTTTGTACACATATGAAACTTCTTGCTACCTACTTTATCTTCATCGGAGAAGAAGCTTGATGCTTGGTATTGGGAAGGGATAGTAAATGTATGACATGAAGAACCAAATAAATCGGTTCCGCAAATTTAACAGCAGCTCGTTCATATAGCTACACCTTCTGGTTTTCTCTTCTGAAAAGTAGATGGCACCCCTGTTTGTACAATGTTGTATTTTCTTATTCCTAGCAGAACGTAGATAAGCTGACATCTTCCAGACCAATTTTACTTAGATCTTTCCTAAGAGGCAGTGTCTTATTAGCAGCCCTACAGTTATCTTTACTGATCTACACTTTTGATTTAGTACATCTGCTGTTGGATCATTTCATGGTCTTTAAAGCACATGTCTCAGTTTACTTGTTTCTTGCCATTATATCTGAGTCTCATTTGTCACCCATTAGCAGAGGGTTTCATCAGTTTTCTTCTTACCCCGATGTGCCTCGTGCTCTGAACTTAGTCTTATCTGATCTGAGTAAGATTTAAACTTAGAGTCGCATTTTTGTATCATATTCGCTGGTGTATCTAGTTGTTGGTCAGTCGGTATTTTTCAGGCACGAGTTTTATTGAGGAGGTAAATACCTTGAACGTGTCCTCTCCCACAACATTAGCGAAGTTCTTAATGGAAAGACCGAAATTTGTACCGTAATTTATAAAATATAGACCCTGTTTATATTTCATTCACCCCCTTAAAAAGATTTCTTTCGCACACGTTGGGAATGGATCGGTTTCGCAATTAACTGGAATAAAAGGGATTGCCGTAGTTTTGTATTAATTTCTTATTCGAATAAATCACGGAGTTAGCGGGATGGATGGTCGTTTTAATCCGGTTTGTTTCGGAGATTGAACGGTGGAGCGGAATCCGGATATTTCTTTTTCTGTATTTGAGCAGTAAATAGGTAATTGAAAGAGGGAAAAATGGATGGATCTTGCCGAGTTACGGGAGTGGATTGTGAGACTGGTATTGTGAATTGATTGGGTCATTTAGCTAATGGCAAAAAACAAAAAAGTTTAAATTCGCCAAGTTTGAAATACACTTCTGAAAAAATCGGATTAATTAAATAAACCTGAAAAGTTTTTCTCTAAAACTATTTTGGACTAACCAGGAATATTTAACGGAAATAAGAGACAAAGAACGCATCTTAAATCAAAATCGTAAAAATCTGTTTTTGTTATCAAAACTTTGCACGCCAGTAACAAGAACTTGTCAGAAAATAATTTGATATTGCGTTTTCTACAAAGTCATACAATAATTATGGTATTTTCAAATTCTTGTCATCAAATGTGATATCTTAAGATATATCTAGAAGGATTCGAAGGTTTTGTAAATTTTAATGATGATTTCAAATACCTTTTGAAGTTTAACCTTTCTCACATAAAGATTATCCTCTTTTAAAGCTTGATTATATTGCATGGAGTGGGTTTAAACCTGAGTTATTCGCAGTTAAATCAGGTGTTTCTCAGGGGGTCTGAGCCTGGACCCCTTTTATATTTGGGATTTATTAATAACCTTACAAAAAATACAGCGCAATAAGCTACTCTTTGCCAATAATTCAAAAGTGTTATAAGATTGGAAATATCTATTAGTAACTGTGAATTTTTACAATTTTAAGTACAAATTAAGCTTTCCGAAGCATATCCAAAATGCAGCAAAATAGTGTCAAATGTTGGATTCTATTTTAAAAAATAGTAGGTCAAATTCTAATATTAACGCATTAAAAATGCTTCAGTTTTCACTTGTGCCATCTGAGCTAGAGTGCGAATCATTAATTTGGCATCGTTTTTATGAGGTTCATTGTTCAGCCCTAGAAAAAGCTCTTCAAATTGTTTTTTATTTGCGTCTTCCAAAAGCGATGGTGTATATTGGAATATATTACCAGTCAGGGCTGGAATCATGAATTATTACTTTCTAGGTTCAATATTCTTATATTAAGGCTGAGACGAATGTTTCATTTTTTCATAATGTATTTAATAACAATAATGAATGTATGTCACTGTTAGGATATTTTATCATCGGGGTTCCTAATTTTGTTCTAGCCAAAGTAAAATATTTTATTTACCAACTACTGGTACCAATATTCCAAATATCGGCAATACCTATACAAGATTTTCCATCAGTTCGATATCAATATGTGATTCACAACGTACCCAAAAAAATTTGGGAATAGATGCGACATGAACAATGGAGTCAATATCTTAAAAAAACTAATATTTGTAAAGTCTATAGTGTCTACCGTCATTCGCGTTGTGAGCTTTACGCAATGCAAGTTTAGAGCCACGTGACCCCAACTATTCCGAATACTGAAATGCGATTTTACAATTAGTATTAACATCGTTGTGATAGTGTTTACAATAGTTTTTTGGTAGTTAGTATCAAAAATGGCTTAGGTTTATAGCAACTCGGGGTTGATGGATATAGTTTTAATTTATGGTGAAACAAGACAACATTTGCGTTATGGTGAAGAAAGACAATTTGTGTTAGTTCGTAGAAACTAGGTAAGACGGGCCCAAATGTGTTTACACGTCGGTGGACAAAATTTTAAATATAAAATTTTATTATTTAAAACCACAAATTAATTGTGTTAATTAATAATAACAACAGCGGCAAAAGCAATTGAATTTGCTGATATAAAATAGGTGTTATAAAATTCTATTTACATATTTCTTTCCTTTCGAAATTCTTTCAAGTTTTTGTTCCTTCATTTTTTATTACATTGCTGCCGTGCCGGTCGCCTTGGGCAAGGTCAGGTTTTACCACACCGTGCAGAAGTGTATTTTTAAATCATTTTCGAACTACCCATTTTGATTTTTTTTTACAAAATTGTATTCGTCAGTCCCCTGTTTTTTGATAAGTTCTGAATCACCCTGTATTTGTTTTATATTTTTCTTACTGTTACTTTAAGTATATATTTATTAATTACTTATAAATCCTGTAAATGGATTTTCTTTTCTGTTGGACAAATAAATTGAATTTAATTTGATTTCATTTGATTTGATTTAATAAATATTGAGTTTTTATTCATTATTTGAATTAA